CTGCACATGCTCCCTGCACATGCTCGCTGCACATGCTACCTGCACATGCTCGCTGCACATGCTCCCTGCACACGCTCACTGCACACATGCTCACTGCACACATGCTCACTGCACACATGCTCACTGCACATGCTCCCTGCACATGCTCACTGCATACATGTAGATCATGTTTGATGGACACTCGACCAAACAGAAACATTGTTGTTTTTAAGTTTTGTGGGTGTTTTTTTATGTTGTCTGACAAAGTCAGTGTGACAGGAAACGCTAACCTGCCAGAAGGAGAGTCTTTGATCCACATGCTGCATGTGTGGTTTTTCCTGCGATGTGTTTGACACGAGTCTCCTCTAATGTTTGATCGAAGCTGTAAACCAAAGCTAGACTCTCTAGTGTGTTCCAAACTACATGATCCTGCACGTTTCAAAGTAACTGATCAAACTGTAGCCCTGCGTGCTTTCTCAGCTGCTGTGTTTTTGGACAGCAGCAGGGACACACAGGACTATGAGCTGTGAATGTTCGAGCACAGCTTGCTGAGGAGTTCGTCCTTATCTTGTCCCACACCCAGACTTTTCATCCCAGTTAAATCAGACTTTGGTCAGAGTTGTTTGGACAGGTCTGCAGTGTGGACACAGCACAGAGACAGATCTTTTAACACCTGTAACCTCATTCTACGTCTTTTAGATCTACCCACCTATCAACGTGCTGCCCTCTCTGTCCCGTTTAATGAAGTCTGCCATTGGAGAGGGGATGACCAGGAAGGACCACGCTGATGTGTCAAACCAGCTGGTAAACAGTCTCGCACGTTGCACCATGAATGATGTGTATGAAGAGGGCAGCAGTGATAGTTCAGTGAGCGTGTGTGTGTCTGCAGTACGCCTGCTATGCCATCGGTAAGGACGTGCAGGCCATGAAGGCCGTGGTGGGAGAAGAGGCGCTCACCTCGGACGATCTGCTGTATCTGGAGTTCCTGCAGAAGTTTGAAAAGAACTTTATTGCTCAGGGTAAGAAAAACAGACTGGTTCACAGCAGCTGTGTAACAGGAATGTGTCCACAACACAATAACACAACATTTCATATACAGCATTTTATTCACAGAGTTTTCTCCTGCTTTCCTTCCTCTGTGACCTCACTGACACCTTTATTAGATTCAATTCATGGGCTCAAGTATTTATAAAAAGGTTGGTTAGAAGAGCTGCAGGAAAGCAGGGCACGATGAACTGCTACAGCTAACTGATATTTGAAGCATCTGGAGACACTAAGGGCTTTTATTTTGAAGGTGTGTCTCGCCCCTCCTCCTTCATCGTGTGGGTCAGCTTCCTCGTAGTGCTGCCTGGTTGTTGTGACTGCACTTGGGGACAGAGTTGCTCCTTCAGGGTTAAAGTAATGATGGACGTGGTTTGTCTTCAC